CTCATGGTCCTCAGTAGATGTGTCAATTAGAGGTTTTCCCACCAAACTTTCTTCAGACAATGACCCTCAACTGGTAGCCGCAAACGAAGAACTAAAAAATGTATTTAAGGGTTGGAACCAAGAGGAACTCAAAACATTTGGCGTGATGAAAGGATTCAATAAGTGGGATTTTGCCCCAGCTGATGCACCATGGGAGAAAGGAGTTCTGAAGCATTGGTTAAGCCCGTAAAACAAGTAATAACAGTAGCAATAAGTGATCATGTCATGACCTGCAAACTGTTTGCTTTGAAGCACCAAATCTTGTAAATGAAAGACTGATCAGAAGACACCCTACTTGACCTGATGATAGGATGTACCTCTGTCCCAATGATTTATCACTAGGAAAAGTGACATCAAGAGTACCAAGTGGACCTTTGAGAGACTTCAGGACCAGAGATTACTTTCGAAGTTTACTCATTCAGCGAAAGTGGCACACTTCATGGCAAAATCTTTGTGAAGGCAATGTAGTCCTTATCCAAGACGCTAACCAGATAAGAGGACAGTGGATGGAAGCTTGGTACTGTGCTTAAAGCCTTTCCTGCAGGAGATGGTAGAGTAAGGAAAGTTCAAGTGCAGTACAAAAATCAAACACCAGGAGAAGCTGTCAACGAGTACCATGGCCGCGGTTTTGTTACCGTTGAACGAGTGGTAAACAAATTGATTGTTTTGATACCAAAGGAAGATAAAGACACAAAATATTGAACTGTTACTAACACGTGATGCACGAATTTGAGGTGTTGGTGGTACATGTACCAGCATCTCACTGTCGCCAGCAACAGGTGGCTGCATACTAGTACTTGGGGTACAGGTCCCCTCTGCCCGTCTGCCATTTAAAATTGGCTGTACTCTCTCCTCTTGCACAGTATGCTGCAACTTCCAATAAGTTAAATAGAAATCATTAACATTTAATTGAGGACAACTTACGATCAGGGTTGTTTTGAAATTTTCAATAACTTTCAGGACTAGATGTATGACGAATAACAAAAGATTGCACTTGCTTCCCTTGTTTTGACAGAAAAAGGCACAATTTGTGATGGAGTATTGGTTATCCTAAATGCTTGTTTGGAAGAAATCACTCATTTCAAGGCTGTGATCTACGAAAAATTGAAGGGAGCCAAGTGCTCTGAACTTGTGAAATTCAGGGTGCCCAGCATGTGATTTGTATGAAAAAACTCAGATTTTCTAGTCGCCCAAGAGAAAAAGTTAGGCTCCAGGGGCCACTGGGTGCTGCCAGAGCACAGACCTCCATTTAGTTCTTTGGAAATCTCAACCTTGAAAAAACTCTTAAGGTTAACTGTTTGTGTACATGCTCTTGTGTATAATGCGCCAATCAATTTGGAAACCCCCAGGGCATTTTAATTTTTTCAGCAAGACTGTTCAAATTCCTATCCCATTAGGCCAATATGATGACGTGAAATTCATTACTATACCCAGTAAACAGCTGCATGTAATTGCAATAGCTTCCTCTGAATTTCTTATTATTTGACAATGTCTGTACACTTCTATGTAGATCTTGTCGGATAAACCACCCCGTTTTACAAAGAAAATAAACTAGAAACTTTCAGTTGAAATTACCCACCCCACAAAGGCAAAGATCCAATTCCCTACTCCCCGGGCACAATTTAAACCCTTTTACTGTCAGAGTGATTGATGGAGTCTGGTACAATGGTTCTAACCTTTGAGTTTGCAGATCAAATCTTGCTGTTACCATTCAAATGAAACCTCTTTGGCAGTACTTTCACATGGTACTATTTGTTTTTCATCATTTAACAAAATGAAATTTAGAAATTTTGTTAAATACTTTGGAAGTGAAAGGGTTAAGACAAATGTCCGGGGAGAGGATGTTGAAGTTTCAATTTGATCGATGCATAATACACCACAAATTATGAGCAACAGGATGGCCAATGCATTGTCATGAAATAACTTCAATTTTTTTTTTCAAAAGACATAATCAGATGTATATTTTTCACCTGGGCATTGCTCTCGCTTTTCTCTTCCCCATTTTTCTTCGCAGCCCCTTTTGTTCTTTTTCTGGCCTCTTTAGCCTTTTTAGGCTCAGGTTCTTTCACTTCTGGTGATTCACCGTCATCTTGAAAGCAAAAGGAATGTCATATTATTGAATGAGCTTAATAAATGCTTATTTTTAATTTTTTTCTTAAAAGCTGCCCTGTATTACAACATCAAATAGCTGGAGGACTTTCTTGTAACAATTTTGAAAATTTAACTACAATGAGGGACAAAAGTGTTGACACACTTCCGTAAAATGGCCCCTTTTTGCATAGTGAACATACTTATCCCCTTCCCCCGTTTATCCCAACCCCTTCCCCCCAAAATCAATGTTGAATTTTGGACCCTCGAGTCTTTTTTTAACTTCAGACAACATTGATTCGGGGGGTCGGGGGATTTACGGCGTTTAAAAGGAATGAAATAATAAATGAATTAAATGTTTGTTCAAAGCACCCGTTTTAAACAAGTGTGTCAACTACTTTTGTCCCTGATTGTCTGAAATATGTATCTGTGTTTTCCGGCTAGATTTTTGACGCTGCTGAATTTTTGTGCGATGACGTTACTCTATGGGCCAAATCGTTTGTTTTTAAACATCAATTTATAGAGTTTCGTCCTGATTTGTAGTATACGTAGAGTAAAATGTACGAAGCGTATGTCATTACTTAATCTTGTACCCCCGCGCGCGTTCCTAATACCCTGTCGGGTCGAGACGAAATGATTTGTGTTGTGATCAATGCCGTTGCTGCGGATGTAATGTTTTCACAAGTATTATCAATAGTGGAAAAAGGATGGAAACATTAAGGTACAATGAAAATTGTTCTGGTAAATGGTTAACTTAAGCGAATGAAGTACTGCAGAGTAACAGAGCGAACATGCAATATTTTTGACATTGACCTTTGCCATTAGTGAAAGGACGTGAACAATGTACAGGTTATGAACCTCATAAATGATGGGCCAGCCGTTTGTGCTGTGCCATATATATAGATGTTTTTTTTTTTTTGGAGACCTTTTCTAACCTAACTGATCCAAACCTTTAGCGTAGGTAGGCGTTGAGGTTAGGAATGTACTTTTGTAATGATTTTACATGACCGCCTGCCATTTATTCAGTGGCATGATTGTTTATTGATGTTGGACGGACAACTATTTCATTTCCCAGCTCGTAAATCACATAATGCCAAAGAAATTGTTTTCAAAATAGACACACCAGTTTGTATCATCGCCAAAACAGCAATTACTTTGGCCCAGAAGTTCACCTGATGACAAGCAAAGCGGGATAACACGTGATCGATGACAGCCGTGCGCTGGAAAATTTTCCTTTTTTATGCGCTAATTCCTCACAAAAGGCAAAAGAAGATTCCGTTATGTAGAAAGTGCTTCGCAATACGTATTCTTGGCGAGAAAAATTCCAGCGATGTGGTGCAAATAAGGAGTTTCAACGGTTAACCACGAGAATACATGTCGACATTAAGAGGTCATAACAGACTATTGTTACTTTCCGTTTGCCGAAACGTGGTTAACCGTTGTAACACGAAGGAAGCAGTGTTTTCCTCAGTTTGAGCTGTCGTTTTCTTTGAGAGTCAAATACCAGTTCACGTTTCAAAGCTCTCTTTTCATTTTCTCTGCCGACAATACACAAAAACACAGGGTTTCGCTTGAGAAATGCAGTCGAAATACCCAGACATATGCGCTTATGTCACGCTATTTGCGTTGCGTTATCATGTCACACAGGGTGTCACGAGGTGGGATGAAAGTAATTGTTTTGGTGTACACTTTCAATGTTTGCTACGCTATCCTTAGTTTTTTATTGAATTGGCCATGAATTTACCTTCACTTTTCCGTAGTTTCGATATTGAACGCAGTGACGGCCGCTCCTCACTAACGCTCCACATTTCCGTGGCCGGCCAGTGACTATCCCCACTACGTGTCAATCCTTACCCTATCCGTGATTGTTTTGGCCTTAACAATAGGATAAAGTGAAGAACGAGAAATATCCACTTTATTAAAAATATTTTCAGTACGCACCCCCTTGAAATTCATCAAAAGTTGTATATAGGCGCGAGTTTCAGCGTCAGTTTTTAGCTTGTAAACCATATCGACGTTAATTCTGGATATCGCAGCCCTTTTATTACGTCATCGCGTAATTCGAATTGGCCCTATAATTCGGTCGTGAATAAGTCTATGTCACCCCCACCACCAATAACATAATTATGTCATTGATTCCTTTAATTTCAGTTAAAATCAGTGTTATACACGGCTCAACTTGTGTGCAGTAGCACAATTTCGCATTCAGACAATGAGGGACAAAAGTGTTGACACACTTCCGTAAAATGGCCCCTTTTTGCATAGTGAACATACTTATCCCCTTCCCCCGTTTATCCCAACCCCTTCCCCCCAAAATCAATGTTGAATTTTGGACCCTCGAGTCTTTTTTTAACTTCAGACAACATTGATTCGGGGGGTCGGGGGATTTACGGCGTTTAAAAGGAATGAAATAATAAATGAATTAAATGTTTGTTCAAAGCACCCGTTTTAAACAAGTGTGTCAACTACTTTTGTCCCTGATTGTACCCTGCTATTAGAGGCGACTTTTTCTTTGACTTTGTATAATTTCGTTGAGCGGAAGGGCAGGATGGGAAAAGACATCTTCTAGCAGGGTAAGATTTAACATGATTCACAGCTAAACTTTACCTTCGGCAACTGAATGCAGTATCTTTTGAGACGGCTTCCTTGCAAGTTTCATCTTTTTACCTTGGCTGTCTACATGTACATAAAAGCAAGCAAATTGTCTGTTGATATAATGCACTTATTAATTTATCTTTTTAATTTCCTGACTGACTTTAAAAACATTTCGTTCGAATTTTCAACTTCTTTATCGACAAATTTACTAGTGCAAAAAGGCAAACATGATAACAGACCAAGATATAAATATGATATATCGTGGATACCGGTAAGCATCAGGGGGCCAAAGTACAGGATCGGCAGAACCACGCCCCAACCAAGTCCTCTTCTTCTTGAAGACCAACACATTGAAAGTGAAACCACTCAAACTTGCAGCTGGGGTAGTCAAATGCAATCATGGCTTGACTTCCATCATCTGTTTTTTGGCAGAAGTAGTAGAGCTTTCGTTGTGCTGTAAAGTGAAGAAACATAAAATTAACATTTGTAGTATAACAGTGACAATACTCAGAAGACAAAGTGGCCCTCGTTTCTGCAGTATGGTACTTGCTATCATGATATTTCAAAGATTTAAACTATAAGATGTACCTTTTTTAGCTCTTGATTTGGCAGCTTTTTTCGCACCAGCTTGCCTATGCTTTGCCAAGCAGGACAGGTGGTCCACCCACATCTGGACTTCTTCCTTGCTTAGGAGAGTTGTTTTGGCTAAGGTTAGTATTGTGTTCTCATCCATCAGCTGGCCCTGCCTTGCTCTTTTACCGAACGCGGACTTGATAACTTCACTTGGTGGAGAGAACTGACAGTCTCCTGTTCCGTGTTTTGCCACATGTTGAATATTATCTTCTGGGGAAAGGAAATGCCCACTACAAACAGACTGACATTCAGTACAATCTTCACTGCCCCATGGTCGTTTCTGGTCGGGAATGGGGAATGGAATATTTCTCAGGGGGGGGCCATTCTCATACCAAAGTCTGCCTTTTTCTGGTTTACCCTTCCCACAAAGTTCATGACTGCAGTCGTGTTTGTAACATGGTAGAAGTACAAACACATACTGGCTGGCTAGTCCTTTCACCATGTGGCTATTTCTTACTTTCCACACTTCCTCAAAATAACTATATAATGTAGATTGTTCTTTCTTTTACACTGCTTTTTACTTGTTACTTCCTTTCAAGAACACCAAAAGGTGATCGCGTCTGGTTTGGTTGTTAATTGCCTGAGCATCACTTGCCCCTTTTGTGAAATAAATTTCTTTCCCATTGAACGTTGAACCAGAAACATGGTCAATGTAGACATCAGTTGCAGTGTCCTGGTTTGGTTTCACTTTCTCTTTATCAACTGAGCCTTCATCTGTATAGCATGGTCCATTCAACGTTCATGGTATGAAAACATTAGAATGACCTACAGAAATACATCCATTCAGGAGTTCGACTTTGTTAAGGTAACTGGAACCACTGTGCCTTGTAGTAACAATCGTACATGCCTTGCTCATTGACAAATGTCTCTCAGTCCAATAAAATTGGACTTCGTCATGCCCTGGCCCGTCATCAGAGGCCCCATCAACCCTGATACATTCTATATCTTTTGCCAAAGATTCCTTGAATGATGGATTAGTTTGTTGCAGCATTGTGAGATCAGACAAGTGTTGTGCTGCATTCTTTCTAAAAAGGGCTTGGCCTTTAACAACAGCTGCACACACATCTGATGTGTTTTCAGTTTCCATGATTAAATACGATGAAACTTGTAGAATAGAGGAATACTTGTTAACAAAGTCTGTGTGGGTCGTAACCTCCGGTGATGCTGAAATAGAGAGGACTTTGTTCTGTTTGTAGGTGAAGGTTGTGTCTAATCAGAAGCCCGCTGCATCATCTTGATTAAGGACACACTTGTCAGTACCATCTTGCAGTTGGATTTTATCTAGGCCTTTGTATAACGAACAGCTCCAGTGTGCATGGGCATTAAATCGCAGGGAGAAACCTTTCCTTGCTCTTCTACAGGTTATGCAAGCAACACCTTTATACCGCTTCGCACGTAATCTTCTCTTGTTCTTCACAACAGATAGCTGCACAATCGTACCATAACTAAAGTGTTGTATTTCTCTTCTAGATGCTGTTTTATTCTTTTGTATGTTACCTTCTGGCCCTGTTTCACGTTTCCATCAAATGTCAAAATCCCTGTTCGTCGCCAAGCGTCAGCACCTACTCTTTTAGATTGAACAAAATTTTCAATTTCTTTTCCAATGTCAGGGTAGTCTCTAAGAACACGTCCTACACGCTTAGGAATTTTTCGTCTCAGAAGGCATTCCTCTGCAACACGCTTCGCAGCTTGCTGATTTGCTTTTTGCCTGATCCTTCTTCTTTCTTTCTGGATCAACTTTTTCCCAGCCTCAGTTCTTAAATCAACATCTATCCACTCATCTGGATTGTCTGATTCTGAATCAGAGCACACATTTTCCCTCTGCAGTATAGCAGAAATGACTGTCGTGAATCTTCCACTTCTCTCTCTTCATCGTTGCTCAAGTCACTTACAGGCAAGTAGTGGGCAAAGTCAATCAAAAGCTGGCTCATTGCCTCAGGAGAGAGGCTGCGAATAGTTGACTTTATTTCTTCAACAAACGAAAACCAATTCAGATTATTTTGTCGCAAAATGAACACTAAATTATCAAATGATGGCACATCAGAAATAAGTGGTGTACTTTCCTTTTGTAGTCTGTCAGGATCAAAGTTGTACTCTTCAGAATGTTTGTCTAATCGGCAGTCTGCCATTTCTCTTTCACTGTTAGTTTGACCACCCTCTGATTCTCCCTCTGAATCGCTTTCTTTCTCACTGTTCCAATCACAGGATTCTCCAGATTCTCTGGAGATAATGCTCTCATTGTCACTTTCAATTTCAATGCCATAACTTCTGAGAACAGTCTTTTCTTCTAAGCAAGCTAGCTCAATTACTGCTTCCCTTATTTCTTTACTCCTTTCTACAGAACTTTCTATTTCATCCTTTTGTCTGTTCCAGTCAGAAAGTCCATACTTCTTGGCTGTTTTGTTAGAGAAATCTCCACACATAGCGTATTTTATAAGTTTTCTATCTTTTTCGGAAGATGCCAATTCACACAAGGCCTTAAGTTTCTCCTTGTTAATGCTATTTGAAGAACAGCTAGTGTCTATACCACCACTAGCAGACCTGAGTAACTCAACGTATTTAATGTAATCAACTCCAGCATGTCGTTCTATCATGTACAGTGTCTGTGTTCTTTTACTGGCGTCACCTAACTCAAAAATAACGACTGGAAGGCTCATAAACTTTCGAACTGCCTCTTCACTAGAGTAAGTATTTCCACTGAAATACTTCTTCAATGTCTCACTAACTTTGACCATTCCTTTTTCTTGAATTTCCTTTACGACACTGACAAGGCCCCAACACTTACTGCATACAGATACGCCTCCATTCACATTATGTAATTTGTTACGGTTCCGCTCTTTGCATATTATGTAATCTGCTACTGATAATTCTGGTAGCTGTGAAACATAAAGGCCATTTGAAATTTTGTACAGTTCCTTGTTTCTCAACCCTCCTGAAGTTGTATATTTCAAGTACTTGCTATATGTTTCCATAACATTTCCACTCTGTTGTCTTTCAGTGCCGCCTTTGTTACAAAAAATGGTCTTTCTTCTCTTTCTCCTCTTGCACAGTTGTTTCATTCTGTTTTTCAGCTTCCTCTCCTATAGCATTTTCACTCTTTTCCTGGTTTCTTTAGGATTAAGATATTTTACTATAGAGTTGTCGTTCTTTTGTTCCAAGGCTGCAAGCTTTTTAACAAGTTGTCCTTTCTCCTTTCTTGCAGAGCTAATTCTGTCCAGAATATGAGATGCTGCTCCAAATATGTTCATATTGACTAATTTACACTTCTCTCTTTCCAGCATTGCAAGCTTTTCGCTTTGTTATTTGATTGATTCTTTTGTTTCTTCTATTAGAATTCTTCGCTCATCTGAATCAAGTTTTGCCCGTTTAACTTGGCTGTCTCCTGTGGATACCGCTCCGAACTTTTTGGAATGAGACTTGCCTTTTTTGTAGTTGAATCCATCGTTATTAACGTTTTCTCTGGCTTTTTCCCGAAGCTTACCCCTATTCAAAGTGAGTGATGGGGTTCCCATACAAAGAGCAAAAGCAGCTTCATTCATTTTCTTTTGCCATTCAGTCAGACCATCGTCACTTGTAGAATTTTTTCCAAACAATTTAGTTTCCTCTCTAAATCTCTCAACATTAACCGGAATTTCAGTAACATTGTGGCTCTTTGCTTCCTCCTCAGCTCACTTGTTTGGAACACATGGGCCAAGTTTGCCATTTTGTCCCATCGTGCACTGTTTTGAAAAAGGCAAAGTTGCTTGACCTGTCTCCTTAATTGTATGCGTCACTTCACTCTCCTCAGATTTACCTGATGACCTCTGTTCATTTCTAACACAAACAGCCCTCAGCTTAGATTTATTTTCAATTGAATCCAGTGGATTAATGTCTACCCATTCCTCGAAATCCTTATCCCACTTTTTCCTCAGCTGTAACCAAGTCATGAAACACTTTCTTTAATTCTATTTTTATATTGTCATAATCTGACAAAGTTACATCAGGTAAACTTATGTTCCATGAAATCTTTCTATTACTTGCACCAAATGAAACTAGACAAACTTTGGATGCCTCAGACTCTGCCATCTGTAAAGTGAGTTAAAACAGCCCTTGTAAGCTTACTGGGTTTAGACACAGTAGTGCAGATTAAGATTAACCAAAAACGTTTATGATGAATTAACCATTTTTATTGGTATATTTTATATGATTCTTGAAATATCCACAACCCCCTTCTAAGGACAGGGTTTCAGATATGAACCCCACCTCTCTGGAATTTCCAAACTCATATAATATTAAATTTTATCATGATCATATACAGTGATTAAATATAATCAGAATATTCAACTGTTACACAGATTCACACAACAAATATTTGACAATAAGTAAACATATGACCCCTACCCACTTATAAAAAAGTCAGGGTACAAAATGGATGATGGAGTAGCATATTGCTTTAAATTTATATTAAAAGGAAATCCGTACCATCTCCATTGAAAGTAATTGCTGCAATGATAAGTTTAATTGAAAATAGCAGCCAACATACCTTAACTTTCACAAGCTGATGTTATAAATAGACTGCATAAATAGTTCCTAGGAGCTATATTTTACATTTTGACTTAAAGAATGAGGAAATATAGAACTTCAGAAACCACATGGGTTTACCACTAGACGTTAAACGAGCTGTGTCACAAAATTTACCAAAATGTAGGCTGTGGGAACTGCCACCAAATTGAGAGAAACATAAAAATAACCGCTTAAG